TACAGATTCAGTGTAATACCTATCAAAATGCCAATGGCATGTTTCACAAAAATAGAATGTGTACAGTCTTAAAATTTGTATGGAACCACACAAGACCAAAATAGCTAAAGCAATCTTGAGAAATAAGAACAAAGCATCATACTTCATGATTTCAAACTCTATTACAGAGCTTGAGTAGTCAAAACATTATGGTATTGGTGTAAAAATAGAAACATAGATTGATGGAACAGAATTGAGAGTCCAGAAATAATCCTATGCAAATATGGTCAGTTAATTTACGACAAAGCAGCCAAGAATATACCTGGGGAAGGGACAGTCTTTTCAGTAAGTGGCGGTGGGAAAACTGGGCAGCCACAGGCAGAAGAATGAGTGGATTAAAGGCTTAAATGTAAGACCGGAAACCATAAAACTCCTAGAAGAAAACATAGGCCCTAAGCTCCTTGACATCGGTCTTGATTTTGATTTTTTGGATCTGATACCAACAGCAGAGGCAACAAAAGCAAAAATAAACAGGTGGGACTACGTCAAACCAAAAAGCTTTTGTACAGCATATAAAAAGGGCAGCCTACCAAATGAGAGAAAGTATTTTCAAAATAGGTATCTGATAAGGGGTTAATATCCAAAATATGTAAAGAACTCATACAACTAAGTAAAAAATAATCTGATTAAATAATGGGCAAAGAACCAGAATAGACATTTCCCCAAAGAAGACATACAAATGGCTACCAGACACATGAAAAGATGCTTAACATCACCAATCATCAGGGAAATCCAAATCAAAGTCACAATGAGCTATCACCTCATATCTGTTAGAATAGCTGTTATTAAAAAGACAAGAAATAACAACTTTTGGCAAGGATGTGGAGAAAAGGGAACCCCCGTGCACTGCCTGTAGGAATGTAAAATGGTGCACCTACTATGGAAGACAGTATGGAGGTTCCTTAAAAAATTAAAAATAGAACTACTTAGGGACGACTGGGTGGCTCAGTTGGTTAAGCATCTGCCTTCACTCAGGTCATGATTCCAGGGTCCTGGGATCGAGCCCCACATTGGGCTCCTTGCTCAGCAGGGAGCCTGCTTCTGACCTCTGCCTGCCGCTTCCCTTGCTTGTTCTCTCTCTGTCTGTCAAATAAATAAATAAAATCTTTACCAAAAAAAATTAGAACTACTTATGATCCAGCAGTTCTACTTCTGGGTATTTATCCAAAGGGAAATCACTATCTCAAAAAGATTTTTATACCCCCCCTGCCCCATGTTCATTGCAACATTATTTACAATAGCCAAAACATGGAAATAACCTAAGTTGTCCATTGATGGATGAACAGATAAAGAAAATGTGTTCTCACACACACACATACACACACACACAGCCATAGAGGCATATTATTCAGCCACAAAACAGAATGAAATTTTACCATTTATGACAACATGGATGGACCTTGAGGACATTATCCTAGGTGAAATAAATCAGATAAAGACAAATACTGTATGTTATCAATTATATGTGGAATCTAAAACAACCAAACAAAAGGGGCACCTGGGTGGCTCAGTCGTTAAGCGTCTGCCTTTGGCTCAGGTCATGACACCAAGGTCCTGGATTGAGCCCCACATTGGGCTCCCTGCTCCGCGGGAAGCCTGCTCCTCCCTCTCCCACTCCCCCTGCTTGTGTTCCCTCTCTCACTGTCTCTCTCTCTCTCTCTGTTAAATAAATAAATAAATAACTCTTAAAAAAAAATTAAACAACCACACACAAAAAAATGAACTCATAGATGCAGAGAACAGGTTGCTGGTTGCCAGAGATGGGATGGGGAGTGGTGGCGGTGCTGGGAGGTAGGCAAAATGGGTGAAAGTGGTCAAAAGGTACAAATTTCTAGTAATAAGGTAAATAAGTCCTGGGAATTGAGTGTACAGCATGGTGGCTATAGTTAATAATACTGTATTGTATATTTGACAGTTGCTAAGGGAGTAGATCTTAAAAGTTTTCCTCACAAGGGAAAAGCCAAAAAATGTGTAGCTGTGTGGGGTGATGGATGCTAACTAAACTTAAAATAGTAATCATTTTGTGATATATATATATCTCAAATCATTATGTTGTACACCTAAAACTAATACAATGTTATATGTCAGTTATATCTCAAAAAATTTAAAAAATAAATTTAAAAATGCATATGAAAAAACACTTGGTTAGTGGGAGTTCAGTAACTGGGGATATGATGGTGTTCCTGCACAGGCAAGCACATCCTGGGGTGGAGGTTGTGACAGGGCAAAAGGAAATAATGTAAAATATTGAGGTGGAGGGAAATCCAACACCAAGTCTGTCTACTTCTGGATATCGCCTAAGGCCGACTTTGGTTGTATGTATGCTCCTGCATCTCGCTCTCCCAGGGTTTTCAGTAGTATGGTTCGGTGTTAGGGTGGGGCAGGATGCTGAGAGCAGTCCTGTCTCATCTTGAAGCTCACAAGTGCGTTCTGTAGGACCTGAGCACACAGGCTACGCGGCCTGAGCAGATAGATGATCAGCATCATTCCACAGACAAGTGCAAAATTTGGTTCTGATTCAGTGTTGGGAATAGGCACAGTGAGGTTTGTTAGTCTTGTTTAGTAAATAGGAGGACACCAAAGAAATGTACCCAGTACCTTCAAAGAACTAATCCTTTGGTAAGCACCCAGAGTTGGCACTTCATTTGGAGTTGGAAAGTTCAAATAAACAGTTATCAGGGTCTGCTCATATCAGCTGTACAAAAAGTTACTCTTGCCCAGGGCAGCCTACTCACCCCAGAAATACCGGTCTTAGTGTGCACAAAGGGTTCAGATGTTCCTAGTCTTTCAAGATGTCACTGCTGACCCTATTCATCTAAGAAATAAATTCCAGCGGTGCTGATAAGCCCTTTTTCTGCCAGTAAGTGAAGAATGGATAGATGTACTTTTAAATTAGAAGTTACATCCTGTGCCATTCATACATCATTGGCTCTAGTAATCAGGATTACAGATTAGCAGGGAAATGTAGACTCTGAGCATAATGAAAGATATAAAAAAACCAAGGTGTCACCTTCAGTAAAGGTGAGTGGACACTTTACATTTAAAAAAAAAAAGACTTTTATATTAAATCCTCAATTTTTTTTTTCTTCTTCTTGAGAATTGGTTTCTTAGGCCTTTCTTCATATACTGCTGCAGAATCTGAAGATCTTGTTCATCTTGGTTTGAACCCACAGGGCTAGAGAGATAGAATTGAGCGTCTCTATGATAGGCTAAATGACTGTGACTAAGTGAAATGTTAGCTTTCTTATCTCTGAAGTGAAGGGTTTGGACTATCTCTCTAAGATCTCTTTTGGCTGTTACACTTTCTGTCAGTTCCATTGCTATAGGTTGGTTTGTGGTTCACCTAAGGACTCTTCAGAGTAGCAAAAGAGTGCCTTTGAACATACTGGACTCTTGAATACTAATGTACTATACTCTTAAAAATGGTATTATGTTTAAAAGCGATTCATTGTGTTCTAAAAAAAAATGGTATTATGTGGTTCAAGAGAAAGAAAGACAAGAATCTGTGTCATTGCGAAAACATCAGTATTACTGAGGTAGCAGTTCAAAGCACAGAACTTTGTTACAGCTAGCTCATTGTTTTTATATTACTGGCAGTTAATACAAGAGTCTCAGCATGCTTTAGGTTAGAGCTGGTATCACAGTATTACTGTATCAGAGAAATGAATTTGGTCTTTTGTTGTATATTTAAAAATCTCATCCCCGTTGAAGTTTTGACAGATGAAACTTTCCTAATTTATAGAATTAGATTTTCCTTTCCCTTTTTCTTTTCTTTCTTTCTTTTTTTTTTTTTTAAAGATTTTATTTATTTGACAGAGAGACAGCGAGAGAGGGAACACAAGTAGGGGGAGTAGGAGAGGGAGAAGGTTTCCCGCTGAGCATGGAGCCCGATGCGGGGCTCAATCCCAGGATCCCGGGATCATGACCTGAGCCAAAGGCAGACACTTAACCGACTGAGCCACCCAGGCACCCCAGATTTTCCTTCCTCATTCATAAATCTTTTGGAGGCTATTTTATTTCCTTATAGCGTTTAAGTATATATATATATATATATATATTTATGTAAGGTTTTATTTATTTATTTATTTGAGAGAGAGAGATCACAGAGGGAGAGGGAGAAGCACACTCACCACTGAGCAAGAGCCTGATGCGGGGCTTGATCCAAGGATCCGGGGATCATGACCCAGGCTGAAGGCAGACGCTTAACCGACTGAGCCACCCAGGCACCCCGATCCATATACCATTTTTTTAAAAAGCAATCAGTTGTTATAGGCCATAGTTTGAGCCAGAGAGTGGAGGTGATGTTGTAGAGTAGAGGTTGGTGAACTATAGCCTGCAGGTCACATTCAGCTCACCACCTGTTTTTGCAAACATTTTGTGGGAATAAAACCACACTCAGTCTACTATTACCTGTGTCTACTTGTGCAATACAACATTACAGTTGAATAGTTAATGACAAAGACTGTATGGTCTGCAAAGCCTTATGTATTCACTGTTTAAATATTTACCTTCACAGAAGAAGGTTGCTGACTCCTGGTCTACAGGAGTGTTGTCCAGTAGGACATTCCTGCAGTGGTGGGAATATTCTTTCTATATACACGCTGTTCAAAACGATAGCCTCTGTCTGTGTGACCACTGTCGTGCACTTGAACTGTGGCTAGGGTGAGACTGAAAAACTGAATTGTTAATTTGAACTTAACATTTTAGATTAAATAGCCACATGTGGCTGGAGATGACTATCTTAGACGGCGTATGTCTAGAGATTTGAAGATAGGGGACCTTGTGGGTTCAGAACCGCTAATTGTTTTATATTGAATTTGGCAGAATGGAAGCTTATGTAATATGATCCATTCTTGTGATGACGATAAATGGTTATATATCATATGTACCCATAGGTATATGATTTTTTAAAAGTTCACTATGATTTCAGCTATTTCATATATACTATTTTTCATTTGCAGTGAGGAGGAGCTCCCGTATCATAATGCAGCTATGGAACGGGTGAGTCCATTTATCGTTACCAGTGAATTATGTTTATCAGAGGAATAAAATCTCCACCTTTGTGATTTTGAGTGCCATGTTATATGTAAATGGTGCAGGCATTCAAATTTCACTCTAAGAAAGTAATTAACGGTGAAACAATTTTAGGAGATTTTTCGAACTTCTGATAGATACTTGAAAAGAAGAAAGGTAGCAGTTATCAGAGACTTGTATTCTAGACAGTTCTCAGTCTAGGAGTGCTTCACATGTACAGCCTTTGAAGAACACAAGCGCTTGGGACCCTCCTGAGTCTGTTAGGTCAGACTCTCTCGGCAGGAGCTCACGTAGGTCATTTGTGGAAAGCTTCACAAGTGATTCTCATGTACTCTGTAGCTCATAAAGCAGGATTCTAGACCAGGAACTTTTTGTAATAGAACTATTCCATGAGGTTGTAACCAAATTTCCTATGAACAGCAACAACAGAAGTTTGCTTTAATCAGATAAGTCTATTAGCTTTTAAGGACTTTAAGAAATCTTATGTAAGTAAACTTGTCACTTTTTTTTTAAAGTTAGTGTTTCCCCTTTTTTCATTATACTTGGCTAGGCAGCTGGTCCCATAGCTGTGTGTGCATGAGAACTAGGGATTGAATGTTTTAAGGTTGGTCAGAATCTCCCTCCCCTTCTCTGTTTTTTTCTGTACCAAGAAATGAATTGCAGAATGAAAAGCAGGCTACTGATTGGGATTATCTTCAGTTTATGTTTGATGGGGGAAGGAGGCTGAGTTTCAGATAATGGAGGTAAAGAATTGGAATGAGAATCTGAGAAATACTTTAGAAAATCTTCCTAAAATAAACAATTTCTGAAAATAAGAAAATGAAGCATACCTTTAAGATGCAGACAGAATTGCCATTTGAAGATTCTTATAGGTACTTTCTACAGTTGAATTCTCTTGTGACTGCCTCATTTTCTCCCAGTATCATAACCTTGATGTTTTGGCAAATGAGTTTCTTTCTTACAATAGATACATTATTGAGTAGCAACTGTGTATCAAGCACTGGACTAGGTACTGCCTAGAATACTAGGGTCAAATAAAGAGGTAGTTTCTGCCTTTGAGACACTCACTGTCCGTCCAGTGACTAGAGGAAGATCAAGTGAGACAAGAGGTGGGAGATTATTGGTGGCTTCTATCAGTCCAGTTTGAAATGGGAATCTGAGAATCTGTTCCCACTCTCTGACCATTTTCCCTCTTGTCTAGTGTCCTGACTTCACTGATCCTTGGACCTCACTGATAAAACCACTGTTATATTATCCTTCACCAAACTCATGTCTTCATTCCCCTCTCTCTACAGCTGAAATTCTACTGTAGGTCAGTACAGTCACTCCCATACACCTTCACCTCCCTCGCCTCTCTTGCTGCCTCTGGACTAAAGTCCAGGCCAACTTTCAGGGAGGAAAGCATGCTGTTACTAGTCAATTTTTGCTCCATTTCAACTATTGGAACATTCTCTTTCCTCCTCAGACTTCCAGTACCTCCTCTGTCCTCTCAGCTCATGTTCTTTTTATTTCTTATAAGAAAATAAGAAGCAGGCAGAGAACTTCCACAAACTTCCACAACCACAGCTACCCACCTGTCTTCATCTGTGCTTATAGGCCCTCATCACTATGAGTGATTAGACTTGTTCAGGGACATCACTCGAGCTATCATTCCCTCCCTCTCCCGAATTCTTTCTCTTTCTGCTTGATTGTTCCCATCAGAGTAAAATTTATTACTTCTCCTCTAAAGCAACAACAATAATACCAGTCTTCTTTTGCCCCATTTCCTCCGTAGAACTACCCTGATTCTCTTTTGCTCTTACAGCAAAACTCCTCGAAAGAGGTGTCTATACTCTCTTTTCCATTTCTTTCCTGCATTTCCTTCTTGTGTGTCAGATTTTTAACTTCCCACCCTTATCCCCACCCCCCTTCTGTATTAGGGTCTCTAATTGCCTTTGTACTGTGTCATCCAGTAGGCAGTTTTCAGTTTTCCTCTTGACCTACCAGCAGTTTTTGATGTGGTTGGCTACAGTCTCATTCTTACACATTCTTTCTTCCCAGCCTTCAGACCCTCAGGTTCTCCGCATGTTCTTTCCTTACTGGTTGCTTGTTCTCAGTTTCCTCTGCTTGTTCCTTCTCATCTCCTGGATCTCTGTACTTTGAGGTACCCCAGGGCCCAAGCCTTTGGAACTTCGCTTTCCTGTCTGTATTTTTTCCTTGTTAATCTCATCTCGTCTTTTGGTTTTAAATGCCAACCGTATGTTGATGACTTGGCTCCCTGAATCCCATACTTGTATATCCTTGCATATACATTTAAATGTCTACACTTAGATGTCTGACTTAATCTGTGCACTTAGATGTCTAACAAATGCCCAAACAGGAGTTTCTGTTGTTTTCTCTCTTTTTTTAAAGATTTTATTTATTTATCTGACAGAGAGAGACACAGCGAGAGAGGGAACACAAGCAGCGGGAGTGGGAGAGGGAGAAGCAGGCTTCCCGCGGAGCAGGGAGCCCGATGCGGGGCTCGATCCCAGGGCCCTGGGATCATGACCTGAGCCAAAGGCAGGCGTTTAATGACTGAGCCACCCAGGTGCCCCTGTTATTCTCTTTAAATCCATTCTGTTAACAGACTTCCCTGTGTCAGTAAATGGGAGCTCTACTCTTCTGGTTGTTCAGTCTAAAACTTCTAAGTTATCTTTGACTTTCGTTCTTTCATAGTCTGCATTTCATTGGTCAGCAATCCTGTGAGCTCTGCCTTCAAAATGTATTCAGAATTTGATGACTTACCATCACCACTTCTGCCACCCTGTTCACTGTAACCTCTCTTCTGGAACTTTCTATCTTCCTGCTTCTGCTATTTTCCCCCTTTCTCCCCCATGATCTTCCTGTTCACCAAAAGAGATAGAATGAGCCTGTTAAAGTAAGTAAGATCATGACACTCTGATTGGAACATTGTGTTGCCTCTCAGTCATATCCACAATAAAACAGGAAGTCCTTAGAGTGACCTTCAAAGCCCTGTATGATGTGCTTTTTGTTAAGGCTTTCATTTCATCTTCATTGCCTTCTCTTCCTTACTCATTGGCCTCCGTAGTGGTTCCAGAACATGCCTGCCATATTCCTTCTTTGGCTGCCTCCTCTCTGGGGCACTTCCCGGCCTCGTCCCACAGTAGCTACGAGACATCTTCCATTTCCTTTGTATTTACTCACGTATCACCTTCAGAATAAGACCCTCCTCCCTGACCATCATATCTAAAATTGGGAACTCCCTCCCTCCACACATGCTAATTATCTCTCACCTTCCTCTGTTTTTCTCTTTATCACCTAACGCTATTTCACATTCTAAATATGTTACTCGCTTCTTTATTTTGTCTGTTTGCTCACTAGGTTGCCATCTCTATGGGTCGGTTATCTACTCTGTTCACAGCTGTACCCCCAGAACACAGAGCCTTGCATGTAGTATATGCTTAGTAAGTGGTGGCTGAATGCATAATCCAATGAATGTAACAGCTGCTTTATAACACTAAATATGGACTTAAATACTTTTGAATGTTACAGTGGCCTTTATTTGAGAAATTAGGGAGAGAAGAATCGGAAGGTATCTTTTAACAATAGATACCCATATTTGGCAAAATATAATCTGGCAACCCAGTATAGACTTCTGCCTTCATTGCCCCTGCTTGTTTTTCTTTTGTATAGTTTTCTGGTGCAGAAAGTTCAGAAGTCTGGGAACTGGTGATATAGATGATTCAAGAAGAGTGACAATGAGGGAAAGAAGAAGTAGAAGACAAAAACTAGTGCAGGATGCATGCTTGAAGGAGGTTGTCTTTACATTTTTGTTTTTTAAGAGACTTGCCTGTAGAATAAAAGACCTACCCAGTTATGCTTATAATTAATTGGTTGTTTACTTTATAGGAAGTCACTAAAAAAATCTTTGCAGACCTTAATAATTTAACATTAAGACATAATTTTATATTCATTTGCCAATCTTTTACTGGGAAAGAGACAGGATTCTGAGGCTGCTCATTGAGATTCCATTTATGCCTTTTGTATAAGTTTTGTCTAAAGCTGCTCTCCTATTACATGACCTGCCTTTTATACTCTTGGTCTCTTTAAAGTGGAATGAGAACTCTAGACACACACAAAGCAGTCTGAGACTGTAAACTTTTTAGTTTATCAGAATTTCCCCCAATTTTTCTGGTTTAAGTTTAGTTCATTATTCTTCAGTGACTTCCTAGTCCTAATGGCCAAGCCTGCAGTTTCCAGGAAGCTAATAAAAAATTCTGCATGTATTATTTCATTGAATAACATCAATAGAAATAGTACCTTGCTGAATCCTACACGTATTTATTAATCTTTACAAAGCATACACTTGAAGCATGCACTTACTGTCTTTTGGGAAGCCTTGTACACGAATGCGTGGTCAAGTAATCGTGGTTTTAGTTCCAGCTTTGCCATTATTTTGCATAAGGCCATTCTCTGTTTAAAATAGGGGTAGTAGTCGGCAGTCCCTCCTAAGAGGATCAGTGTTGATATTGCAGAGTGCTTTGGATTCCCCCAAACAGGCATTTAAACAATCACATTCATTATATTTACCCAGCAGAGAACAATATTAATAATGGATTATATTGTTTCTTTGAGCTTAATTGATGTTTTTAATAAGGAGGAAAGGATATGTAAGGCTATGAATTTTCATGAATTCAGCTATTCCTTTATGTAATGCGGTATTTTGCATAGCTTATAGAATATTGGAGCCTATTCATATCTTTAAAAACTGTATCTTCATTTTATGTGGTGTGAAATCTTACTCAAAATACATGACCAATAGACTTTTTAGTGTCGTTATTCTGTCAAAACAGGACTCTCCTTCCTGTACTTCTTGTCCTCTCCTGACCTCTGCTGGTGAGGTCTAGGTGCGTGTGACTCTGGTCCACTGTCCTCAGTCACTTGTCCTAATACTCAAACAGGAGAGACAAAAAAAGCATCTGAGG